CATTCACAAACCTTGTGAAGAGAAAAAAAAATAATGTAAAAGAAAATGAAGAAAAGCTAATTTTGTATATCTGATTATGTAATTTATTTATTAAAGTAAGAGATAATGCTTCCAATTATGCGTAGTTTGGTTGTTTTAATACCTAACAACAGCTTGAACTATGCAGTTTGACTATAACAAAGATTTTATTGGAGAACATGATAAACTTCTTATTGTATACTTAACAAATTTAAGAATCTACACTTGCAATCAAAGATACTTAGTATTTTATTAAATTCACTCCATTTGTTCTTCCTTATAAAATGTGAAAGCTCAGAAATATAATACATTCCAGTTAAAAGATAAAAATAAAGAACAATAATTTTTAAGAAGTTACAGCAACAATCTTCACTTCACTGCTTTGTACAGGATTGTTTTTGGAAATACATATTTCAATGCACTAATATAATAGTATATCTGAAACCAGTTTTGTAATCTTTGGACTAAATCGAATGTATTAAAACTGGACCTCTAATGGTATGTAATTATTAATATTACATATTATATATGTATGTCATTTTATTGTAACATCAGACATATTTTACAGAAACCTAGACCCAAAAATATCCATTTTACTTATGAAAGTTTATAATTCAGTAGAAACCTTTTGTAAGAAAAATTATCAGAATTCCAGAGAAATGCTTTTGACAACTCAAGTCTTGAACAACTGTTTAAAGTATATACTGTACAGCAGTTTGCAACTTTTCACTACTGTAATTTCTCTAGATTAAATCAGAGGTCCTAGAAGCTGAATTGAAAAGGACAACCAGTTGCTACAAAGAGAACAGGGAAGCATAATTGATTCTTGCTGGACTACCTAAACATCTGGTATAGAAAGTTAGGAGTTTTGTAAAACAGCATGGGATATAGGGCAAAAGGGCTGGAGAGGGAAGTGGAATTGGCAACAAATTTCTCTCTTCATTCTACCTTCAGGATCCTCTAGTGGATCAAAGTTCTTCACAAAAAGGCTTATTATCCCATATATTTAATAGTTTGCTGCTGATATCCTATTCATATTAGCAAAGCAAACCCCAAAAAATTAGGTGCCACAAATTCCCTATTGCAAAGCAAGCCATAATAGCTGAGATGTAATTACTTCTGCACTGGAAAGCAAACCATGCAATGCACAACTGTACGGATCCCAACTGTTAGTAGGACTTTAGCAATAGACAAAGTATTTAAGCCAACATTCTTATCTGTGGCCTTACAGAACTATCACATGTATAAGTACGACATAGTTACATACTATAACTTAGACCACTATCATGTTTTGCATGATGGATCAGGTATTAACAGGGACACGAGAGTTCATTAAATTGTGCTAATAAGTGAACACGTCCATTCATGTACTTTATTTTCTGAAGAATATTAAGAATACCCTACTTATGGAAATCAATCACTCAGAGCATTAATAAGCAAATATAAACAATATTTAATGCTATTTTATGATTAATATTTCTAATTTCTTACAAAAGATAATTATTTTCTTTATAAAGTAAGCTGTTATCCTTTGGCAGTACTATCATGGATGGGAGATAGTAGGTTTCCTGAGACTACGTTAATGATAGAAAATGTGAGATGCTCATCTTTAGAAAACCAAAACAAAATATGTCAACAACAGATTACCATAAATACAATATGATTTTGTAGAAAAAAATCACTATTATATTTTGAGCAGCCATTTTAATTTAAAAGGGACAATGTTATTCATATAAAGCATGCCTCATTTATAAGAGAATTGGCTCACAAAGAATCATCTCATCACAATGAACCAGTGCAACTAAAACAAGAATGACAGAAATAAAACAGTTCAAAAGCATTACTATGCAAAGAAACCTGGAAAATCTTACTGAGATTAAACCTGGAAAATTTTACTGAGATGCACTGCTAAATTATATTGAAAACCAGCTAATAGAATATGGTTATACTTCAGAACTAAATATCCCCAGTAACCTCAATTTGGTACAATACCAAAATAATGCTTAACCTTCTGTAGAAGAAAAAATAGCTTGCATACAATACAGTTTTAATACAGAATAAAAGTTTAAATGAAAAACTACATTCTTCACTTAGATGATTAGTATTTTTTGATACAGAATTATTTTTGTATATGAATTCAAACAGAATTATTATGCACCATATAATACTAAAATAGTAATTACAGCAGGACAAATCTTTTCAAAGTAATTTTAAATCTTTCCATATTAAATAATGAAATATACCCTCAATCTGACTTAAACATAATTTGTTAGAACAAGCTTATTTTGTATCCATACGTAATTATAAAAGCAGGTAGATACATTTTAAAATCTATTAGCACAATTTCCTAGAATTGCTTTTCACATTCTGTATCCTAAATACAAGGTTACAGAATATTTTATTAAAAGTAAATCGTTACATAAAAGAACAATGGAAGTAAAATTTGTATTCAATATATATTATAGGCAAATAGAACCTAGACTCAAATGGAGGCCATAGAACAGACCTGGCTATGTCACCAGGCTGGGGGTCCCAGGGAACCGGAGACCTCCTTAGATGGCTCCACTGTGGTTGATCTTTTTACTCCTTCCTCCTGGTTTGCATATTTTAAAATTTTGATAATATTTTATTCTTAATGACTTTTTATATTTTTATCATGACTATTTTTTATGTATTTGTATTTGCATGTATTTGTTGTTTTATTGTTGTATGCCACCCAGAGTCACTTTTTGTGAGATTGGTGGCCATATAAACGCGATTAATAAAGAAATAATAGATCAGTAATACAAAAATGATGGATATAGTGGGTCTATTATAGTACCAAAACTAGTTAAAATGTTACAAAAGTAACATTCAAAATATATGTAACTTTATTCTATATTATCATATTAATCAAGGTACCATGAATGCAATGTTTACTTTCTTTCACATATGCAGATGCAACAGCAATTGTGTTGGAGTAGCTACATACAATAGTTTAATCTTTCTATACATATTTTAAGTTTTTCTAGTGTAAAATGAAGCTGAAACATTATTGCTATAATTCCTGTTACTACAACAGTTTCATGCTTAAACAGGCATATATGTAGTAACTGTTTCCTTTTGTGGGCCCAGTTCTGAGTAACTTGACCTGTAACTTCATCTTTAAATCATCATAAATAAAACTTAGACTGCAATACTATAGATGCAGTTATTAATTAAATGCTATATAGCTTGTATCAGTTAAACAGCTTCAGTGATCAGGAAAAAAGAGCATTTTAACCTAGTTTTACTATCTCTTAAATATACACTTATAAAAATTTTCTGATAAGTGGCCTTTAACTAAAGTCAATCAGTTATTCCAATGGCTACATGTCATTCTTATTGGAAGCAGAATACACAAGAAGTCTTATTTTCAATCTACAGTCATGGATTTTTCACAGAACCAATAGGTACTGCTATGCTTTTGAAAGAACATAAATAAGCCTGCTGTCCTACTATGAAACAAAACAGGTCATTTTTGGCAGATTAAATCTATTCATTACTTATATACGGCATGAAAGACAAAAAGGAAATGTGACTATTAAGCTTGCTTGTACTGAGAACCTTCTGTTATTGATCCAGCTGTAAATTATCTCACCTCAAATCCAACCATACTTCCATCCAGTTCCATCCTTCTCAATGTATTCATTTTTATAAAACTGTATTGTTCCTACAAAATAGAGGGATAGCCCACCATCTCCCACGAACTGGCAGTGACCAGGAAAAATACTGAGGCTAAAATTAAGCACAGTTCATAACAACAGGATATTATCCATCATCTCAACCAGAGAAAAAACAACAACAAAGGACAATTTACAAAAAAACGCTTAGCAAAACTCGTCATTTTTTTATTTGTCACTCACCCCGATTCTCCCACTCATACTGAGGAACACTCACACAGGAAAAATATATATATATATATATTTATATATATACATATATAGATATATATTAATACATGACACGATAACTTACAAGCAGATGGAAAGCTGTATCATTTAAAGGCGGCAAGGAGGGACATGAAAGCAAGAGAGCCTGGCAGGACCCTGCTCAACCTTCCTCCCTCCCTCTTTCCAAAAGGCCCTGATAACAAGGGCTAAGTGGAGCTCCTCATGCCCGCCTCACCCAGTGAGGCCTACGGTCCCTGGGGGCATTTTTGCCTCATTTGGTTCCTATTTCGGCTACATTGAAACTGAGCAACTTCCAGCGCCACCGCCGCCAACGGGCCTCTTCCCCTCCCCCTCCCGCGCGAGGTATCCCTCCGCCGAGGCCT